TTGGAGCTTGAAAGATAAACCTAAGTTTTCTTTCTTTGTTGAAAAGTTCTAGACCAGGCTACAGAAACCCAAGGCACCTGAAGAAAGAACACCCAAAGTTTCGCCAGGACTCCCAGGTAAGATTCCTGGGAATTCCTCTGCAAGACTCTCACAGAGACTAGATCACACACCAGGAGAGATACAGGACCTAGTTAGGCCCTGGGAGGTGTCTCCTGGGAAGTGCAAGGCATCAGGGGTTCAGACGTAGACCAGTGCACCCCAGCAAGACAGGGCTCGCATCCTCGGAGATGCAGGGAGGCTGGGTGGTAACTGAAAGTGTCAGAACGGGTTCCTGGATCTAGTTCATACCTCTGGATGGACACAGCAATCTCAAGACAGAAGGCCAGAAACTCTGTAAGGCATCTCCCAGCTGACCTCTTCCCCGAGTCCAGCTAGAGGCGTGCTGTGACCAGGTTTATTTAGGACCTCGATCTAGAAACCTCCTTTGTTCCTAGCATTTTCCTGGCAGGTGATAGAACCACTGGGGTCTCAAGACGGTTCCTCACAGGGCCCAGTTCTCTATGCCAATGGTCAGGTCCAAAGTTGTATTACTTTTTGTGCATAGAAAGAAGCCTGCTCTGAAAAAAAGGGAAGAGAGAAATAATCCATTTTTTATATCACGAAGCAGAGGATTTAGCACAGTATTCATCATGAAACTTGAAGACAGGTCGACTTCCAGTTCCCATAACTCACATCTCAGCTTCAGTACTTCCTAGCTGTGTGACTATGGTCAAATGACCTAACCTCTCTCTGAACCTCAGTGATTTGGCCTGCAAAATGGTCATAGCAATAATGTGTCGCTGGAAGAATCGCCTTTTATCCGTGAGAGTGCGAGGTATGGACATCCACACTCGCTGTTGTTGCTGCTGTAAACCACCCCTAGAAAACCTGCTCTTCCTTCGGGAAAGCAAGGAAGGCTTAAGGGCTAAGACAGAATAGAATGGCTCATGCTGCCTGCGTGGCCTCTGTGTACACCACCAAATGTCCTGCCATCCGTGTGTCACCTGGTAGCTAGGTGTCACATCCCCGCTGGGAAACAAAAACCTGATGAAACGAAAATAGCAGTCAGAAAAAAGACATTTGCGTCTCAGATGTGAGGTGCACAAGTCATCGACAAGTCATTCCCCCTTCAGAGCCTCAGTTTCCCTACTTTGCAGAGATGTGAGTCAGATCAAAATGGGTGAGAATATGACCAGGTGCCGTGGCTCACACCTGTAATCCCAGTGCCTTGGGAGGCCAGGGTGGGAGGATCGCTTGAGGTTGGGAGTTTGAGATCAGCCTGGACAACATAGCAAGACCCATCTTCACACACAAAAAATTATTTTTCTTTTTAAAACAGCTTTACTGATATATAGTTGACATATTATAACATTTACCTATTTAATGTGTATGATTCAATAGACTTTAGTATATTTGCAGAGTTATGAAATGTTATTATTATTATTATTATTATTTGAGTTGGTGTTTCACTCTGTCACCCAAGCTGGAGTGTAGTGGCACAATCACATCTACCACAGCCCTGAGCTGGGACTATAAGTGTATGCCACCGTGCCTGGCTAATTTTTTTTATTTATTGCAGAGATGAGGTCTCTCCATGTTGCCCAGGGTGGTCTCAAACTCATGGGGGAAAAATTTTTTTAATTAGCCGGCATGGTGGCATGTACCTGTAATCCCAGCTATTTGGGAGGCTGAGGTAAGGGGATGGCTTCAGCCCAGGAGTTCGAGGCTACAGTGAGTTATGATCGCGTTGCTACACTCCAGGCTGAGCAACAGAGTAAGACTCTGTATCAAAAAACAAACACACATAACCAAAATGAGTGAGAAGACATGGGTGTGTGCCTTAGCTGTCAGGTGACAGACCTGTGACAGTTGTTTTTCTTTTGGGAGTGTCAAGTTGAAAGAAGCCTTAGAGACCAGCTAGATTTTAAACCAAGGAGAAAGTTATGAATTTCCTGAAGTTCTATGTAGCTGATATTTTTAATTGTTGGGATCCCAGGAAAAGGAAGTGAAAGCCCCAAGGAGGAGTGTAGGGAGTTTTTGTACATTCAGACCTCAGCAGCATCAGAAGTGCCTGGAAAGTATGTCAACACAGCTTGCCCATAGTCTCTGGTTCAGTAGGTCTGGGGAGGGAACCAAGAATGGGCCTGACAGGATCCCAGTAATACAAATACCACCAGTCCAGAAAGCCCACTTGGAGATCCACTGCTAAAATCAGTACCACAAACAAAAAGAGTCTGGGGCCCAATTGGAAAAAATGTTCAAAGCAATGGCCCTTCTCCTATGGCTGGTGCTAAGAACAAACGTGAACCGAGAATTTCTAGTGTGCCAAGCTCCATGCTGGGAGTTTTCTCATTTCATCCTTAAAATACCCTTTGCGGACCAGCCATGGTGGCTCACGCCTGTAATCCCAGCACTTTGGGAGGCCAAGACAGGAGGATTGCTTGAGCCCAGAAGTTCAAGACCGGCCTGGGCAACATAGCAAGACCTCACCTGAATGACAAAAACCAAACCATTCGCTGGGCATGGTGGAACGTACCTGTCATCCCAGCACTTTGGGAAGCTGAGGTGGAAAGATTGCCTGAGTCCATGAGGTCAAGGCTGCAGTGAGACTCAGTATAGTGAAATCCGGACTAAAAAAAAAAAAAACACCCTTTGAGGAAGGTACTATTATAACCCACCTTTTATAGATAAGAAACTGAAAACTTATGCAATTGCTCAATTGCTCTATCACCTTTTATAGATAAGAAACCGAAAGCTTATGCAATTGCTCAAGGTTGTACAACTAATCAATGAAGGAAGTGAGAAATGCACTCAGGGCTGTCTGAACTCTTAGCCCTGATGTTGTCTTGCCTTTGAGTTTATTTTCTAAATGATTAACATGAAATCGTGCCAGCCAGTCAGCGAGCACTAGCTACTTTCTCCCTCTCTTTCTCTCTTTCTCTCTCCCTCTCTCTCCCTCCCTTCCTTCCTGTACCCCCTCCCTCTCCCTCCTCTCTCTCTCCAGTCTTCCCTCTCCTCCCCGCTCCCTCTCTCTCTTTTTCTCCCTCTCCTTTCTCCTTCCACCTCCTCCTCCTCCCCCCTCTTGCTCTCTCTCTTTTTTTCCCCTCCTCCCAGCACCCTTGTCAGCTTTATCCTTCTCACTCTGCTCACTGGCTTTCTCGACTCCCCTTGCCCAGGAGGTAAACAGGTCCCCTCCTGCTCTGCATAGCCTCCCACCCCACGACAGCCCTTGGGATCCAATTCCAAATTCCCAGGAGAAAAAGGCTCCCAGTGCAGCCTTTGGGGGAGACCAATCAGCTGTGGCCAGGGCAGGGGGCAGCATGGGGAGGGAACTCGAGGCAGGCCGATTGAAATACCAGCTCCAGGGGTCTAGACACAGCCTCTGCCCAGATTGTAAACCAAGACCCACAACAAGAAAACAGCGTGCTCCCAGAACGTGGACTACAAAGCAGACAAGAAGTTTATTTTGTCTAGTACCATGGCAGGTAGTGTTTATTTTTATCTTTTAGCTTTGAGTCAGGATCTCACTCTGTCACTCAAGTTGAAGTGCAGCTGCACGATAATGGTTCACTGCAGCCTCAACTCCTGGGCCCAAGCTAATCCTTCCTTCTCAGCCAACATGCCCAGCTAATTTTTTTTGGTGAAGACAAGGTCTCACTATGTGGCCCAGGCTGATCTCAAACTCCTGAACTCAAGTCATCCTCCTGCCTTGGCCTCCCAAAGTGTTGAGATTACAGACATGAGTCACCGCACCTGGCTAGGTTTTACCTCAATGAGATAAAACTCAAGATAAGAATGAGGTCAGAGAGATTATTCATTTTGTCAGAGGAGGAAAACACAACTTTTTATGTGTTTTGCGGTAATTGGACGCCATGACTGAACAGGCGATGGGAGCCACAAGTGTGCCTGGCATTATTGCCCCCAGTAATGTCCACGTCACCCAGCCCAGGTATCCTGTGGCCTTTGAAAGCCATGGGCAGCCTTCAGGGCTGACTGCTTACCCAACCTCATCAATAGTGATCCAGTGTGATTCAAGACACGCAAACTTCCAGAACCCACTTGTGGTGAACCAGAATCCAGCAGGCATGACGGGTGCACAGAGTCAACCTGTGGGGCTCCTGTATCCTGTGGGACTGACCAGATTGCAGCCTCCACCTGGAATGACCCAAAACACACAGGGAATGACAGATTTCCAGCCCCTGCCTGGAGGTCCTCAGACGCCCCTGAATATGAATCCTGGGATGACATGCACTTCCAACCTGTTCCAATGGAACATGTCATTTGAGGCATTTTCTGCATTCGATCCCAAGAAATTCATCAAAGAGGAGGTCAGGACACTGGAGGCAAGTGTGAGCGCTTCTCTTCAGTCTGTTCACATTATAAACCCACCTCGCGTGCACTTGGATGAAGAAGGGTATGGACCCAGAGGGCAAGAACAGAAGGACAGAAGGAGGGGAAGTCAAGCCCAGCATCCTCCAGCCTTCCAGCCCCTCCCTCGCCTTCCTCCCCCTCCTCCATCAGATCCAAGGTCTTTGGAGAGGCTGTAAGAATGATGAGACCCCGACTGCCTAGCTCTAAGGGGGGCAGGTGTTAGCAGCAATCTCGCTAAAAAGACCGTTGACCAGGAAGTCAGGCGATCCAAGTGACCTCAGCATACTCCTTCCCTCTCTGGGCCTCAGTTTCACATCTTCAGAATCAGAGAGCTGCTTTCTTAAATTCTTTCCAGTTCTGAGGGCTTGTGGTTTTCTCTTTAACCAAGGGGGGGGGGTCCTGCCTCTCTCCTGCCTCCTCCAGTTTCGTTCAGCACCTATCAAAACTCAATTCGATTCTGGTTTTTGGCTAGGCGCAGTGGCTCACACCTGTAATCCCAGCACTTTGGAAGGTCGAGGCAGGAGGATTGCTTGAGCCCAGGAGTCAGAGATCAACCTGGGCAATATAGAGAGATCCTACCTCCATTCAAAAAAATCAAATAAAATAATAAATAAATTCTGGTTTTAAGGCAGAAACCAGATCAGTCTTGGGCCACACTGGATGCCTGGTCAGTTCCTCTCATAGGGATCGAACAGACACTCGATCTATTTGCGTCCACCCATTCAACACGGCAGGCACTCTGTAGTTACTGGAGACTCAGAGGTGGCCAAGACACCATCCTTGCAGACCAAGCAAGGCCTTTGTATGGTGGCAACTATTGTAATTATAATACCTTCTGGCAACAGCCATGGGACATATACACCAGTTGTTGTCATGGGCGGCCAGAATGCAAATTGTCCAGCTTCCTTGGGAGATGACAAGCCCCTTCCTGGGAGCAGGACAGGTTCAGGAAGGGGACAGATTTGCAAACACCCCGACCCATCCCTCCTTGTTCAATTCAGCAGACAAGTAGATGGCAACCAGAACAAGGCATGGCTGGCAACCCCAAATTATCAAAATCAAATCCTGGACTGAATTCTAAAAAACAGTATCAGGAATAGAAATCCTCGTCACAAGCCTCAAATGAGATTATAAATGTGCGTGGAAATCCTTCCAAAGGTGAAGACGGTCGGTGATATTGCGTGGTGATTCGAATTTTATATTATAGTGACTATCCTTCTTATGAATTAACACCAGGTAAATGTTTGTTAACTTTGGTTCCCCATTATTTTAAGGCATTTGGGAAGGGAGGATTTGAAATATGTTCTCAAAAGAGAACTAAGTCAGAGCGAAGACCTGCGGAGCCTGGTCAAATGAAAAGCCAAAAATGTGGACTAGCTTTCGTAAGTGACAGTTTCGTTTTGGGGAGGAAACTGTGCCCGCCTCTTCATAAAGAGATCCAGCCGGTCAGCAGATGAAATCAAGCGCGTCGTCTTTGGAAGGGATGCTCCTGTGACATCCGGGTCTGTCACCAGCTCATCGCCTCACAGACCATAAGCACTGGCAGCAGCTGCTCCACGCTGGTCATTTGACCCCTGAGGAAACTAAGGCCCAGAGAAGCCAAATGCCGCCCCCAACAATCATGCAGTGGCACGATCACAGCCACCGCAGTCTCAACCTCCTGGGCGCAGGCGATCCTTCCGCCTGTCTTTTAAGTAGCTGGAAATACAGCTGGTGTGTGCCACCAGGCCCGGATAATTTTTTGACTTATTGTAAAGAAGAGGTCTTGCCAAGTTGCTCAGGCTGATCTCAAACCCCTGGGCTCAGGCAACCCTCCCGCCTCCGCTTCCCAAAGTGCTGGGATTGCAGGTGTGAACCACCTCCCTGGCCTCTGCTGCCTTTTCTTTGGGCTTGTGGTTCTCAGTGCTGAGTGCACCTTAGCACTGCCTGTGGAACTTTAAGGACATACCCATGGCACTGTTGCTTACACCTGTAATCTCAGCACTTTGGGAGGCAGAAGCAGCAGGACTGCTTGAGCCCAGGAGTTCAAGACCAGCCAAGGCAACATAGCGAGACCCCTACACACACACACACACACACACACACACACACACACACACACACACACACACACTAGCTGGGCATAATGGCACATGCCTGTAGTCACAGTTATTCGAGACACTGAGGCAGAAGGATCGCCTGAGCCCAGGAGGTTGAGGCTACAGTGAGCCGTGATTGTGCCACTATACTCCAGTCTGGGCGACAGAGTGAAACTCTGACTCAAAAAACAAAAAAGAAAAGACCCAGACATGGATCGCACCCCCAGAGATTTTGATCTAGTTGGTCTGGGATGAGCCCCAACACCAGTCCCACGTGGAGGGATTCTGGGGAGCAGCCCCCACTGTAAAGCGCATCCCCTCTGTACCCGGGCTCTGAGTTCTGCTCTCTCACCGTGACTTACTTTCCCCGGCAGGCTATCCAGATCCTCATCGGCCTGACACACTTTTTCTCTGGAGTCAACAGTGATCTGTATTCCAAGAAATCTGCCACCGGACTGTCAGCGTATCTGATCTGGGGAGGCATATTTGTGAGTACCAGCTGGTGGCCTCCTTTCTGGGTCAGCAGATGGAGACAAGGAGACAGTGCGGGGAGAAGGAGGACATGGAATCCCACTCCCTGTAATATGACCCTCATAGCCTAGAGCCAGCCACATAACTGCAGATACAACAAGGGTTAAGGATCCCAACCGTCCACCACCCCACAA